GATAGGGACAAGGACAGGGAACGAGAGCGCAGGCATCGCAGGCACGGTGAGGAGCGCGAGCGACGTCATCGCAGTCATCGCCACAGATCTAGAAGTAGGTCGCGCGATCGTGATCGCGAGCACAGAAGAAGACGCTCGCGATCCCGGTCAAGGAGTAGAGACCGGAGACGTGACGACCATAGGAGACCGCGAGAGGATCGTCATCGTGCTCACCCGAGAGAAAGGGATTCTCCCGACCACCATCGACGACGCTGAAATTAGGGTCGCCATTCCTCGATTTGCATGGTATTCTTGGCGTTTGGGATTTAACATTGTACAGACTTTGATGATACTCCAGGATATCTAAACTATACCATACATACTTCGCTTATATGGACTTACAGCTCATCATGGCCCTTCTGCGCGCTGGCGGGCAGATCGGGCATGGACATCATCTTCACCACCATACTGGTCCAGCCGGTGAAGTGCTGGGTCCGCTGTCCGTTTCCGGTCTCGGGGTTGTATTGCTCCCAGGCAAATCCGGTCTTCTTCCACTCCTGGAAGACATTCTCAACTAGGTTCTTGCGCAGGTTGGAATACAGCTCACGAGCCTGTTCCTTGTGAGGGCCGGAAACGATGGCAATATCCTAGAATGAAAGGTTAGCATTATTGCGAGGGTCTTGTCTGGAGTAGATGACTACTTACGTAGAGGTTCTTAAGCACCAAGTAGTTAATGTTAACCCAGATAGGGCTTCTCCAGTAGTTCTCGGCAGTGCCGTAGAACTGGTCCTTCTTGCTCAAGCTGCGAATACCATAGTCGCTCCAGAGCTCCTCCGGGTCACCAATCAGATCCAAAATGGCCTTCAAGCGGGGGCTATCCGGGCCCAGCATGCCAGTGAGGAAGGGGAAGATAGAAATATAACCCTTGTGGCAAACGTGGACGTGCTCCTCATATTCATCGATAGTCGCATCGCAGTAAGTACTAGCGTCATCATCCCAGTGAAGATCATCGATGTTTCTCTCGATGGCGGTTTCGTAGGTCTTGAACACCTCAGCGTCCTCTGTCTCCCCAATGGTCACCGCAATGCGACGAAGAGCACGAGTCATCATGCCCATCCAGCTCATAAGATCGACGTGCAGCTCACCAGGGTGGGGAGGCTGAGGCCGAGGATAATCATCCAATCCAGAAGTCAGGATATGCTGGACCGAGCGTCCCCGCCAGCGGTAGGCTTCCCTAGTAGAGTATGCCTCACGGTCGTAGGACTTGATATCGCCCTTCTGGGTGCTTCTGTACCAGTAGTAGTGCTTCTTGAGCAACGGGTAGATTGAACGGATAAAGGCTTCACCCAACTCGGGTTGGTCGACAAAGATAGAGCGGAGGTTGTCAGAAGCTCCAGAATCAACGTATGTCTGCATCGAAGCGTTCTTCTTCGCATCCAGCTTATCGATGAAAGCCTCGAGGATGATGAAAAGAGTCGGGGGGTTGGCATAATGAGGGTATTGGATCGTGAACTCAGGAGGAACCTTGCTGCGAGCCTCGGATCCGAGAATTTGCTCTCTGGCAATCCAACCATCTTCATCCATCAGGTTAAGCCAGCTCTTGACGATTTCAAGCCTTATTGAAGTTAGTGGATTTGCAAGTAATGCTGTATGAGGCCTGGAGTTCGGAAACTTACGCAAGGTCTGTATCCCAGTCGATAACTGGAATCAGGTGGAAACCCTCATCCCAGAGGAAGCCTCTAGGGAAGAATGGGCGGGAGGGAACGCAAGTGAAGAGATCCTTCGGGCCTTCAAGAATAGGCTGTGCCCGACCCCTAGCCTCTGCAGTTTCTTCCCAGAAGCCCTCATTCTCCTCGTCATACTCCGGTGCGGACGAACGATCAACGATGTCTGTTCCGTGGAAGAATCCAATGCCACCGACAAGGTTCGAGAGCATGGACTTGGAGAATTCGGTGTATTCCGCAGTATCGAATGGCGCTTGCGGGGGGTGGATGCTTTCAAACCGTTCAGAGAACTCAAGAGAGGCGCTTGAGATCTGCTCAGTAAGAAGCTCAGCTGTTGAGCAGACTCGTTAGTACAGGATAAACATCCAGGTCGAGGGTAAAATGTCTCACAAGTCATAGGCTGCGGGGAAGATGCAGAAGAGAAAAGAATATCGAACTAGTAACAGTGAGTAACAATCTATAGGTTGGGATTTCTGCACTAAGTACCTCGAAAGAGCCCTTGAAGACCTTCTGCACAAGATGCATATTACCATCCCCGGGCTCATTCTTGATGGTGAAGAGCTGGTAGGGAGGGGGAGGGTTCTCCGATCCATACTTCTCGACCATTTCGTCGACCTCTTTCTTCATCTGCGTGAACATGATAACTGCACATAAAGTTAGCTGTTGTTACCCAGAATGCATGTAATGCAACATCTAGCGATGGGGCCGGACCTTTAGTCTGCCAGAGCTGCTCCGGGTGCATGGTCAAGCTCGACACCAAGGTACGGTCCAAGGGCTTCTCGTCATAGGTTGGGTGACCGTGCTCCGGGTACTCGTTGCTCTCAGGGCCAGAAGTAACATCGATCGAGAAATCGCCGAGATCCGTCGTAAAGCCACCCAACTTAACATCACCCGCAAAGCCGTAAGGATCCTCAGGTTGGCCCTCAACGCCCAGGTTGCCAAGTCCCTCCAAGCCTGCATAGAAAAGAACGGTTGTGGGCTGATCGGGATCAGCATCTTCGCGGGGAGCACCCTTCACACGAGCAGCCCAGCTGCCTCCATGCTGTCCACCGGGGACCTTCACGAAATCGATCGTCAGATCAATGGAGTTTCCGGCATCATGGATTGTCTGGCGGCCACCCTTCCGAATGTCGTACTCATCCCAGCCATAGCCAGCCATGCCTTCATTCTGCTCGCAGGTATGTCTAAAGTCTTTTGAAAAAGGTCAGTTCACAGTTGGGCGGATGCAATTGTTAGAAGGAAGAGACCGGTTTGCTTGTTCCGGACACATACTCTGTTGCGCCGTGGCATAATTGTCCACCTTCGCCCACATCAATCCTGCAAACAGACTGTTCGGGATGCGAGGGCGAACCCCAAAGTAGAGGTTCGGTTTATACGGGCCCCATAGTAAAGACTGGTTGTTGGCTCTCGCTACCTCGCTGCTTAGAACGGAGAGATCATCGGCCGGAGCTTGACTAGAAAGCACCGCAGCGGCATTGAGTACCGGCGTCAAGAATGCGGATATCTTAGAAAGATGCATTTTCTATATCGAAAGCATCCAGAGCTAATTTCAAACCTCAGAGACTGAGGATAATCATGGAGGGGGCAAATTGACACCGTTGCGGTTCAGTTCATGGGAAATGCGTGTTTGTTGTTACTATCTGGCATCTGCTGGAGCGGCCGGCCTCCGCTCCGCAAATTACGTGGCCCAAGCTCCACCCCCCGACAATGGGTCCTGCAGCCTGCAATAAGCTCCTGCTAGAGAGAACTATAATTCTACCTGCAATTTATGCATTTGACGTGCAGAATTCTATCTACAGGCTTCTATTCTACAGGAAATTCCTTGGATCCAGTGAACCGATCTTCGCACTTTTAGCTGCACCATCGAAGACGAATTCGCTGATCAGCTTGCCAGTACCCGGGGCGTTTTGTATGCCCCAGCAAGTATGGCCAGCAGCAAGGTATAGCCCCTTGGTGCCAGTATGACCAATCAATGGACCCCCGCGTGCAGCAGCCACATTAGGCAAATAACAAGCCTGCCGGGCTAGGACTTCGCCATCACGGAGTCGATCAGAGATGCTGCCGACCTGGTTGATGATATCCTGGCAACGCACTTGATCTACTTCCACATCTGCGCTGGTTTTCGGAAGCGGAACGACGTGATCGCCTTCACCACACGCGTAAACTGTATTGTCTGGGCGAGCATAAATCTCCGGCGAGGCCTCATCAGGTCGAGAAGGCTTCGTGGGATCGAAATTGGCCGGGAGGTCAATGCTGGTGAAAAGAGTGTATGCGCTGACTGGCTCAACTGGCCGGATAACAACACTGTGTGCGCGAGTCGCCGTGATAGGGGCTTCTGGCAAGACCGACCTCGTCCAGGGACCGGCAGCAACAACAACGTCTGTTGCTGAGATGCTGTGCGATTCACCCGTCTCCTTGTCAGTATACGATACTGACTGGACCGCATCTCCAGAATAGTCAATTCCGGTAACGGAGCCCAGTATTATCTTTGCACCCTTCTCTTCGGCAAGCTTAGCGATGGAAGTCGTGAAAAGATAAGGATGAACCTGGGCAGTCTCTCCGGGATCACTCATGCTTGTGTAGCTTCTCACAGTCTCAGGCTCAAACCAGTCTAGATCCTTGGGAAACTTTGCAGCTTTCAATTTTCCCATAGCATCGGCGCTCCGCTTCTGTAGCGATACCGAGCTTCCACTTGCTCCTGCGCTGGCGTCTTTCTTGTCGCTGAGAGGACGGCCCTTCGCCATGAGCTGTCCGCAATTGACTTCGCGATAACCCCATCGATCCTTGCCATTATGCTCTTTAGCCAAGTCCGCATGCAACTTGTAGCTCAGTGGGACGATGTTGCTCGGGTAAGCCCACAATGCCAGAAGGCCTCCTGCTTTGCCCGACGCCCCTCCTGCGATGTCGGATGCTTCAATGAGGGTCACCGAATGCCGTGAAGGGTCAAAAGAAGGATGTCTGGTCAAATAATAAGCTGAGCAGCATCCGATGATACCGCCACCTTAAGGAAAGAGCCATTAGCACGCATATTCCGGGCTGTGCGGGGTAGATAGAGATAAGTAGATTGATGCGCATGCGGCGCACACGTACCAACGATCACAATTTCACGACGTTCGCCAGAGGTTGACATCTTGTGGTATGGCGCAATCCTTGATGCTAATGCCCTCAGAGAAGCCACGATGGTGAGATGGCGAGAAATTCAAAGTAATGACGGGGAGTCGAATTGGTGTCGGAAGCAAGTCTTTTAAAGAGGGGCCTATACGTCACAGAGGTCATGTGCCGAGGATCCTGATAAGTCTTGATTATATTACATCTGCCTTGATTCGACCTACTAAGAACCAATGCAAGGATATAGACAGGCTTTGAAAGGTATCTTATTTGCTTGAAAAAAACAGTCGAGCGACAACAAAAGAAAAAGCCCTCCATAGATCTTGACTCCAGCCATGCATGAAAATTGATATCGCCCCAACAAAAAAACATTTAGAGATGTGGAATAAATCGAAAAGTGCAAAGTTAAGAAAACGAGCAAGCGACGACCGATGATATCGTGAAGGTAGCCGGGAGATAGAAGCTTTTGGTCACCTCGAGGGACTGAGAGGTCTGTTGAATCCTCCGACACGATTCATGTACTGTCTGTACTCCGTCTTCTTCTCCTTGCGGACGCCATAGATGTCGTTCCCGGGAACCTTGGTGTTCTTCGTGCTCCTGAATTTCGTGAATCCCATGCTGCGGCGCATCATTGCCTCGACATCGTCTTCTCCCACAGCACCGTCACTGTCCACATCCATCTCATCTTTGTGCCGGTTCACACCCAACTTCGCATCCGTAGCACCGTTTGTCTGCCCTCTATGATCTCTGCGATCGTTCCTGCGGTCATTCCGGGGTCCGCGAGGTGGCGGCGTCCGCGACCGGTCCCTGTTGCCGTTCGGAATAGGTGATCGCGACCTGAACCTGTCTCCTTTCGAAGGGTAGCCTTCAAGCGTTGTTAGCATCTGTAGTTCAGAGGGATTTGGTTTTAATCTTGGCATACCGCGTCTATCATAGTGCCTATCCCGACTGACACTTCTTTCTCTGTCCCTCATTCCCCGTCCATCTCTGTCTCTGTCTCTGCGGTCGCGGTCACGGCGATCCCTCGACCGGCTTCTTTCTCGCCTCCTGTCCCTCCTATCTCTGGAACGAGAACGATATCTCCGGTCATCGCGAGGCCCATCGCGTCGTCCATCATCTTTCGCAATATGCTCCCGGCGAGGGCTTCTGGTATAATCTGGTTCTACTTCGGGTGAACGTGTCCTCCGGTCGTCTTGGTCCCACATGGCTGAGCTATCGACACGGCGAGCACGTTTTGCTGGTGGTTCCGTCATCTTGAGGCCGGTATATGTGGGATTTGTTGTGCTGATGGAGTGTTGTTTTCTTCGTGCACGTGTGATTCCGCAGGAGCGGTTCAAGGGAAGGGGGATAGGGGATGTGGCGGCAGGTAAAGAGATATCTAAAGTAATCAGTCCATTACCCTTTCTTCCCTGATTTTCAATGTCAATTGATAGAGATAAGCGCGTCACGCAGTGGTTGTAGTCTTGACTGAAAATGAGAAAAAGTGCTCCGTAAGTCAGGTCCCGAGATTGAAGGCGTGAAGATTATTACGGTAGCCGGTTTCGACCTACTGCGCGGCTAGTCCGATGGCCTTGAACCACCGCCGATCTGCGACCCAGGCCATTCACTAGATAAATATAGAATAAATAGAATGTTTGTAGTATTTTCTTGCTATGATATTCTATAGATTGGCGAGTTTCACTCACAAGAGGGGAGTAAGCGCGAGATTGAGACACACAACCAAGTTGTTCCGGGAACTGATGCGGCCAGCTTATCGTTGCTGGAGATATGCGATAACCAAATTTCCAGGTAGGTCCAGTGGCCCGTTGATACAACTCCCCCTATGGAAGTCTCACATGACAGCTTGAACTGACCTGATACTATTTTGGGGGTAATTTCTCAATTAAAAGTAATTCTGATAGCTGAGACAGGTTTCAATTGTTAGCATGTGGCCGCTCTGGCCAACTAGGTGATCCATTGAAGTATATTCTTAGTTTGAGACAGTGGGAAAGCCTCGTAAAGCTTTATTCCGACAACACTACAAGTAATAGTAGTAGTATCCGCAGCACTAATATAGTATTTAGTACGGTGAATGTGACCAGTGATACTACTTACTAAGTGTTGAACTTCATGAACCTCAGCTAGTAGTGGTAGTAGTATCGATAGTACACTGCGGCACAGTAGCCTGGTCTACGCAAGTTCATATGGACCATATTAACTCAATGAATAAAGAAAGTATCATCATAGTACTATTCAATGAGTCAGTAAGAGTATCTATAGTGACACATATGGTTATGGAAAAGAGAATTTCTACTACGTACTATCACCTGTGGTGTATGTGATAGCTGCAGTATAGTGGCATGTGTTTAGCTTATCTCAATAGCAGGTCACAATTCCCTTAAACATAGAGAAGATCAGATTTGGGATTCTGGTAGAAACATACTATATTTTATTGGAGTATAAATTGATCCCCTTGTAAAGCTTTTGACATCAAACGCTCTAAATTCTCCGAATATTATTGCTGTAGTACGTACATCATGCGGGTGGGCCGACAGCCCTGAGCTTAAACGCCAGCGAGATCGCTCATTGGAAATCTTGAGCGCCCCTCCATAGCTCGATTGATTCATGGACCCCGCAATCTTTTGTGCCGAACCGATTCCGATTTTCTTCAATTTTCCCATTCCCGATCTTCCGCTGCATGTCGCCCTTACCTAACTTCCAACTATGGCGCCCGCAAGCACTTCTCACCGACAGACCCATAATTTGCTCTTGATCTCAAAGCTTCTTAGCCTGAGGGACACTGCATCACCGCTTACTTTGGTCTTGGACTCACTAGAGCAGCCCGCGACCCCACTGACCAAAGAATACATTCGACGTGCAAAGGTAGGCAGTCTATTTGCTCTAAGGACTGTGAAGTTGTTTTTACAGTGGATAGTCGGCTACAGAGGCTTCTAAAAATGGCCTCCATGCCATTGAACAATTGGCCTGTTTTGTCATCCTTGCCGATCTGGCTAACTCCCGCAACAGCTTTCCAGGACCCATGTAACCCTCCTTGCCTTTGAAACATTGAAAGCCCCAGACGGTGTCGATGCATTCATCTCCGCTCGCCGGAAGAGTCCTTTGGAAATTCTGAGAGCAGTTGGCGCTGCTTACCAAAACGTCTCGTCGAACAGCCCTTCTCGAAGTATGCCTGTCCCGAGCTTCTTCCATTGAGCTTGTATCGTGAAGCGGCTAACATATCAAAGGGAGACTCATTCTCATCGACGCCATTAACCCGCTTCTACAATCGAAAAAGAATGACCCTCAGTTCCATATATCACAGTTCCTCAGCTCCTTCCTGATCCCGTCGAATCCCACGGCTCCCAAGGTGGACGTGTCGCTCGTGGTAAACTTCCATCAGGATGTTCCCAGCCCACCTGCTCTCTCGCCTTACGCACCTTCGCCCCTCTCGATGCTGACGTACCTTGCAACTACAATCATCACACTCCATTCATTCTCGCATATTCTCGCGCAGAAAGCGGCACGCGATCGGAGTTTGGCCGCGCCTGTTTTTGGTCTTGAAGAAGAGCAAGATGGCGTGCTCCTTGGCCGACTAGACAAACCGAGTGGCCACGACGCATCAGAGGGGATTGTACTTGAGCTGGAGCACCGCAGAAAGAGTGGTCGTGGCGTTCTGGAATGGTACTTTCTTCCTCCCGCTTCTCGTTACCCTCCCCAATACCTGAAGGAGATCGTGACGTTGCTGGACGACCATCCCTTGTACCGCCCGCCACAGGAGCCGGACGCTGGTGCAGGCGAAGAAGAACCCGAATCAACGTTCGAACTGCGCCTTACCGAAAGACAGAGACGGGATCGAGAGGGTGTAGTGCTGCCGTACTTCGATGCCCAGCAGGGCGACGGCCCCGGTGAAGGAGGACGTATCTTATACGACATGGGTGAAGAGGACGATTTTGACGAAGAGGAGGATGAAATCTAGGTTTACTTGCCTCAAGTTATTCATCACCCAGGCCCCTCATATACGCCACCAGGCACCATTCGACCGTCTGCGGATTCTCCTTATGGAAACGTCATTTGCAACACGGGCCATGTGCGATAAAAGGATACGGATTCGCTGTTCAAGCTCTTACAACTATGCGACGACTTAAGAATATACAGTCCAACAGCTCTGCCAGATATTTATTCGAGCTGATTCAAGTCCTGGGCTTAGGGGGATGGTGTCCTGCAACCACCAGAGACATTATCTATGCATACAATCATATTAGCGGGTATCGAGTTCGGAGCCGTTTTGCCCGCAATTAAAAGAAGCGCCACCAAATGAGGAAAAGAAAGATAAACCCAACACCCGCGACAGGACCATACTGCGACAAGTTAGCGACAAGTCTGCCGTTGCCTCAAGACTTAGAACCTACCTGCTTGACCAACAACTCCCAGTTGATCCGTACCGCGGCCTTTCTGTACTTCTTGCTGTCTTCTCGTAGACGGCCCGACAATTCACCCATTCTCTCCAAGCTATCGCCTCTGTATAGAAGGTCCTCGATGTTCTTGGTCATCACCTTTGTCACGTCCCGGAGCTCATCGTTCAGACGGTCGAGATTTTGCGACGCGCGACTATCCTGGTAGAGCTTCTTGGTGCGCTGAATGAAGGTGTCGAATTCCACAAAGGCGTATGGGCGCAGAGTCGGGGATTGATATTGTGTCGGGGAATATGTGGTAGTGAACTCGGTTGCGAGATCGGCCAGATAGGTGAACGCAAGCTTGCGCGGATAGGAGTGATCGCATATGCAAAGGAAGCAGATATCATCCTTGATAAGATAGCTAATTCCGGTGGTCAGCCAACTTGCACTGAGTAGTTTTGCGTCGTACAAGATTCAAACGCCAAAACATACTGTAGATTAAATTGACCGGATTCAATACTGGCTTGCGGCGCCGAATTGCGATTCAATCGGCGAAAGATCATCTTAGCCTGAGACTTGATCTCAGAGAGCTCCACTTCAGCCTAGAGAAGAACACCAAGATTCCCTATTGTCAGCTATCAAGCAACAATGGTGCAGTGAATGCGCCCTGAACCAAACTAACCTGCTCATCATCCACGGATGCTGCCAGCATCAAGCCTGTCTCGTAACATCAGCAAACGGCACACTTGGCTCCCCCCCTCACTCTTCCTCCCCCTGAACAAGCACCGGACAGCATCTTACCATCAATTCTGGCAATCTGTGTTGACCTAACCATCGTGGCGATACTTATTTACCGTCTTATCACCGAATCAAGCACTCCTTCCGTTCACGCAGTGGTAGGTTGGTGACTTCGGGGTATTGTCCAGATCTCCAATCCAGGCCCGCGGAACAATGGCCCGCCCTCGCAAGGCGGTCGACTGCGGCAGTTCAGCAGCGAAGCAGCAGCCAACAACAAGGTACGAATAAACCAACTAATGCTTGCGTTCTCCTCTTTCCCTTTTGTGTCTGAAACCAGACGCATATTACGACCGCGGAGGAAGGCCGTCACTGATTTAGTGAAAGAGCACTGACCTTAAGAATGTTTCAGAAGCCGCTCCTCTCGCTCTGTGAATGCGGCTGAACAGAGTAATGCCGGCGAATCGAGCTCCGCGATGCCACCATCCACTACTACTACCAATACTAAACCGAAGCGGAACCCTAGAAGAGCCGCGAAGGATCCATGGGAGGAGGAGAAGGTGATGACCAGTACGAAGTCACCGTTGGTTGATGCGGATTTAGTGGTATGTTGGAATCGCTAGATATGGCACTATCGATAGTGCTGGCGCAATGTCGGGAATGGCATGCTTATTGTCAACAATGAACAGGGCCTACTTGCCAACCCCAAAGCTTGGAACTGTCTCGAAGAGAGCGAAAAGCAAGAGATCATAAAACTTCTCCCGGATAGTGTACATCCGGACCCTAACCCGCCAACGGATGATGATGCCGATGCGAAGATCCCCCCTCCTCCGCAGGAATTCTTACGCTACTCGAATAACTGGCGCGAAGGTATTCGGCAATTTCAAGTGGAGCTCCAGGATGGTTTCCATGATCCGGAATGGTTGCGCCAGGCGGAACTGGCTATGGAGGAGAGGGCCGCGGGCGCGTTTGACAGGTTTAAGGAGGAAGAGTTCGAAGAATTCTGGGGACAGAAACAGAAGATGGACAAGACACTATTGGCAGGACAAAGCTCTCAGGTGAAGTTGAAGACGCTGATTGACCATAATGTTGTTCGCGAAGGCGATGTCTGGAAGTACTCGCGATGCTTTTCTAAAGGTGCTGACAGAGTTCTGGTAGAGAAGGAAGCTAGGGTATGTAGGAACTTTATCGCTTCCTTGATTCAAACTTGACAACTTTGCTAACACTCCGCTAGATTGTGGGCATTAAGAGTGCGCGGCTGAACTTCGTCATTCCTCCTGGACAGCGTGTATTTCTTCCCGTTGCTTCAAGCGGGAGCAAGCAAAACCAAAGCCATGCGGATGGCACCAAAGCCGATGTGGAAGCGGGTGACCAG